CACACACACACACACACACACACACGCACATGCACATTTTCCTCCTGCATTGTTTCTTGTTCATCCGAATGGAAGAGAGATGAAACACATGGGGAAAAAAAAAACAGAGGAAGACTCGCTTTTTTGGGGCTGACACGCTGGTTTTGGGATTTGTCCCGCTCGGTTGAACAAGGCAAACCACAGCGCTTTTGTGTAGAGGTGACGGGGGCGTGCCACTATATATAACTGTGTGTGTGTCTGTGTGTGTGTGTGTTAGCGTTTAGCTTCATTTGACTTGTGCACAAAGGCAGACAACGTGTGTGCGCATCGAGGTGTGTGCCCAGACGGAGACGCAGGGGTGAGCGATGGACCGTCGTCACACTCCCCCGACTTTCAAAGACTGGCGCGCACACACCGGGGCTCGCTGTCTCCGTTCGACACAAATCAAATGAGGCGGCTCTTGTCACACACACACGCGCACTTACATACACTGAATGTACATTCTCAGGCAAAACTCCCCAAAACCTCCCCTGAGAACACATTTATCTTTCGATGCCAAGACTTTTTTTTTTAGGGGTGGGCAAACTCCAACAATGAGGAACACGATTCATCCATAACAGATTTGAAGTGAGTTCAAGGATGCCTTAGAACGCCTCGTCGTCTGCCATAAGCGCATGCAAATCATGCGGAGAAAGGTGGGATAGCCAGGAGGAGGAAAATATTTTTGGGGACTTGACATCCAGTGGCATGGCTGGTTGAGAGTGCCTCGTTGTTGGCCTTAAGTGTATGAATGTCATTGAGAGAAATCAGGAGAGCAAGGGGATTTCTTTATTTTTATTTTTTTAAGTTTGATGCTAGAACCAGTATGTCGATAGGGGCTTCACGATGGTGCTTTAGAGTGCCTCATTGTCCTGGGATGACATTTTGGGACATATTCCAACAACCAGAGCTTTTCAGTGGATAATTTTTTGATCAGAAAGATGCTCGATAAAATAGCATCCACTTTTTTTATTTACCCGACACCTTACACGTCAGTCAAGTGTTAATATATGCACCTTGTCTCTTCACAACACACATTAGCATGGAGCAACAGTAACTTTTAAGAAGCCCAAGCAAGGTATGACATTCATTCCGTTTCTTTACGACACACACACACGCACACACACGGCTCTTACCTATTGTTCCTGACAAGACCGTGTCCCCGTCGCGCCTGACTGACCGTGTCACAGAGCCCAGCAGGCATGTCCCGCCACGGAGCGCAGCGTGAGACTTACAACAGGCATGAGCTCACGTGGAGGGAAGAAATAACAACTACCTGAAATCCGTGAGGTTGGATGACGGGATGCAGGGTGGCGAGTGCTATGCCTGCCGGGTAGGAAAAGAGAGGGGGCAACAGGAGCGGGGATTGTTAGGGGCGAGCGGAGTGGGGGTTTCGGGGTTCAGAGGTTAACAGAGGTGAAAAGGTAATTGGGATCAGGCACCCCGAGGAGAGGACAGCCAGTGATATAAAGAACACAGGGAGTTTTATGTGTGCGGCAAACGCGAAAAAGAACACAAAGCGTGATGAGTGATGTCCTTGGTATGGTGTGTGTGTGGGTGTGTGTGTGTGTGTGTGTGTGTATGTGAGCATTTGAGGGGTGCGCTTGAGGGGGTCAATGTAAGAGGCCTGCTCAGGCTCCTCCTAAAGTCCAGTGCAGATAGCACCATAAATCTTCGTGTATTTCCTGCTCTGTTTTTTGTTGTTGTTGTTTTGTTTTTTTTCACATGCAACCATCAGCCTCTGAAAAACCAGAGAGGGCAAAACATCAAACTTCAAAGATATGAGATTTAAAATGCCATTTTAGACCCATTGTCATTCAGTTCATGTTTTTTGGGGGGTGAAACACAAAAAGCTGGAACATTGTAGTTACACAAAATATCCACAAGAAGGCGACATTATCACCCTCAATTGGAGCCACATTCAACTTTGAAAACTTTTCTTCTCGGCCACTGTCAACGTTGGAGTTTCCGATTCAGTATCAGTGACGCAGTTGAGATGAAGATGATGATGATGATGACGTCATCTCTTCTACGGAATCTTCCAGGCGGTGTACAACCTGGCCAACGTGGCCTGCAAGTGTCACGGCGTGTCGGGTTCGTGCAGTCTGAAGACGTGTTGGCTCCAGCTGGCCGACTTTCGGCGCGTTGGCGAGTTCCTCAAGGAGAAATACGACAGCGCCGCCGCCATGCGCATCGGACGCAGGGTAACCAGAACAGCACGTCTTTATTTAAAAAAAAAAAAAAAAAAAAGAGCAACATCTCCTTTCGCTAATCACCGATCTTGGTCCAATCCAGGGCAAACTAGAGCAAGTGGACAAGCGCTTCAACCCCCCGACCCCGGAGGACCTGGTCTACATCGACCCCAGCCCGGACTACTGCCTCCACAATGAAACCACGGGCTCGCTGGGCACGCAGGGCCGCCTGTGCAACAAGACGTCGGAGGGCATGGACGGCTGCGAGCTGATGTGCTGCGGCCGCGGCTACGACCAGTTCAAGATGTACAAGCACGAGCGCTGCCACTGCAAGTTCCACTGGTGCTGCTACGTCAAGTGCAAGCGCTGCACCTCGCTGGTCGACCAGTTCGTCTGTAAATAACGGCGGGTGTGGCGGGGGGGGGGCGGCAAGTGGTTAGGGGTTCGGGAATCAGCTGTCAACACGCAAGATTTGCTAACCGCCGCGCCAGCCGTTTGGAGTCATTTCCTGTATGGGCCCTTCCTGCTTTCGTAAACCCAAACCCCCCCTGGCGGAACAACTGGATCCAAAATAGGGACACGGGTGACTCCAATGAATAAAATATATTACGAAATAATAAGTAGACTGTTTAAAAGAGACACTTTGGATCATCTCCTTTGATTCTGGCCTGCAAGAGTTGAACGTGCTGACTGCCGCGCGTTCCCGAATGCTACGAGACCAAGGAATGGCTCGGCGAGGATCGGAGGGAGTCATTCTTCAAGGCACACTTAGGCGTAGAAATACTGTAACGAAAATGGGGACACTCCATTAAACACTCCATTTGTCTCCGCGTAACCGGCAGAGATGCCAGCTGCCACGACCCGACGAGTCGGCGAGCGACGGCGGTTAACGAGGCTTTTGTCCCCGCCTGCCGCCATCTTTGCCTCAGCCCGGGCGTGACCTTCACGGGCGGGGAAAAGGCGCGAGGGGGCTTACGAAGCGCCATTAGCGAAGATTGATGACGCCGTGGCGAAAGATACTCTCCTACCCCGACTCCCGTGAATGCTAACGAGGAGTCAACCGAGCTTGACCGAGACGTCTTCCTTTTTTGGGCCCGTCGCCATCTCGCTTCCAAAATTGATCCTGCTTGACTTTGGTGGAAAAGAATTGGTAGATATGAAGAATTCAATCCAGTCTGATGATGATAAGAGACTGGAAAAAAAAAATGAACGTCTGTGTGTGGCAAAAAAAAAAAAAGGAAGAAAAAAAGAACAGAACGGACTGCGATTTATTATGAGCTACTTTAAAAGAAAATTAGATCATAAGAGAAAGTATATATTTTATTACTGTCCTGTTTTGTATGTTTGATACGTATTCTTTTGATAAACTAGTCTTTGGACGATGATGCCTCATTTCTTTTCTTCTTCAGAAGGTTTTATTGGACAACATAGCCTTGTTCTTAAATCCCAACTACAAGGAAAAAAAAATAACAATAGCGCACGGCACGGCCGAGTGTACCTCGTGATGACCTCATTGCTAATCTCATTACTTTGGGCTGTCCGCCACTAATTGGATCGGACAGGTAGCACGAGCATGTCTTTCCTTTCGGCGGTCGAAACTGCTGCACCAGAGAGAGACTTTTGATACCGGGACACTTGTTGGTCTTCTGTCTCGGCTAATATATCTTCGCTCGTGTGTGAAGCGTGTTCAGTTAATTCCCACGGGCCACGCCGCTTCCGAACCTAATTTGGTCGTTTAAAGTTGTCATGTTTCCCTCGCACATTCATAATTTTTGATATCCGCACAGCGACCTGCTCAACATGCGTGTTGTATTGAAGTCCACATATAGAGGGATACCGTGTGTATTATTTCTGACCTTTTTGGGTTACCCTACCAGCATGTTTCAAGGTTGAGCTCACTGGAGCTGCTAAGTGAATGCTAAGCACCATCGCTACCAATTATGTCGAATACTGAAGCTGTCATGGGGGCCCGGCCGTCATGAAAAGTGAATTCAAAGTGAACACGGGCGCCGTTTCTGAAGCAGCAAGTCTAGAAGATGAAACTCGAATGCGTGGTGCTCAAGACGACTTTTGCAAGCAAAACTTGTTTGGTGTCGGACCAGATTAACCAGATTGGCGAAACTACACAAGCAAAGACACACTCATCGCGAATCTATTTACACAGCCAGACAATCGCAGTCAGGCAGCCCACAACGTGCCCTCGGTGGGCACGCCTGCAGATGCAAACACACCCAGGTCGAGTTTGAGGGCAAATATTTCATTCGCGGTTGCGAGAATTTATGGCCATGGAGTGAGGCTGATATGAAGACCAAATTCACAGAGCACATTATGACCAAATGAAACAATTTGAGTTTTTTTTTTCTTTCAAATATTTGTTGTTTTACTAACAAAAGACAGATTGCTCTATAAATAGAGTTGAGTTGAGATAGATTAAAAATACATAAAAACCAGAAATGACAATTTATTGTGGAGAGTTAGCTGCTGTCTAAAATAAACAAAAGTAAGACAAAAACAAAATGAAAACGTTGCCATTCAAAAAGTCACAACTACAACTTCGCTTTTATTCCTTCCGTTTCTTTTTTACTGAATGAAAACTACAAAAAGTAGTTGCGTCACTCGCTCTTCCGGGTACACAACGATTGGCCACCTCTCCTCAGTCTACGCTCCATGTGATTGGCAGCCTGCCTCTCGTGTGAGCTACGTCCGATTTTAACCACGCCCCCGAGCACACCGTAAATCCCAGAGTACAGTCTGTCGTAAGAGAACAACAGAGAGTGGAGCAGAGCGGATCCACGGTAACAACGCTCACAAGCTGTGACTCCCCACGTAGGAAATTTACCAAAACACGCCGGGACGAGGTAAGATGGTACAACTTTGTGATTTCAAAATCTCGCGTTCCGTGTTGTTTCGGACACGTGACCTTATTTTGGTACTTTACGAGTGCTAGCTGTGAAGGCTGTCATAATAAAACATGAGCTAGCCAACGACTGGGAAAAACAGATTATTTTCTCTCATGTTTTTGCCATTTTTAGTCCATACGTGCTGATTCGATCAAGAACTTTCATCGTATGAAACTGTCAGAAGAAACACGAGAGGAGTTGAGGAGTTTGTTGTGGTTTCCCGTGTTAGCGAACTAGCTCCGCCTGCTAGTTCGGTGTAAACAAACCTGTGGGCTGCCCCTCGATTTGCCTGTTTTATAATAAAAATTAATAATAATTTTTTTGGGGGGGGGATAGTTTCTTAAACCTTTCGACGAGAACAGAGCGTCTCGCATCATATACGGCATGACATGTTTTCACTAAGGCGTGACGTAATGCCGACAAGGGATGCTCCTTTGTGTGCGGAAAAAAGTGAGCCCCCCTCTCCAAAAAAAAAGTGCAGCGTGGCTGTCAAAAACAGGAGTGTGTCTGGATTTGGGGCTTCTCTTTGTTTCCCTTGGGTTGCCATGGCTCATATCAACTTGGATTGTTTCGACATCCAGAAGAATGTTCGGCTTTCCTTTGCACTATGTGTACTCTTTGTGTAAGTATCTGCTGAGTGGAGAGCATCAAAGATTAGCGACATGTGATATCACAACATACCATAGCCCCCCGCGCCCCCCCCCCCCCCCCTCCACCC